CTCTCTCTCTCTCTCTCTCTCTCTCTCTCTCTCTCTCTCTCTCTCTCTCTCTCTCTCTCTCTCTGTGTGTCTCTCTCTCTGTCTCTCTCTCTCTCAGGCCACCATCTTCTTGGCAGGCCGCACTTTGGGCCATGAGCTAAGGCTCGTCGGCGTAAAACTGAGCGAAGGCCTTCCGATGCAAAACAGAGTCAAGGCCCGTCAGCGGCCCCACCCTACAAGAATCAGACTGGGTGGCATTTCGGGGGTGACAAGGAGATGTGGGCAGTGTGGTCTACTGCGTCCCTGAAGGAACAGTAGTAGTAAGCCTCTTCCAAGTAGGGCGGGACAACATAATCCAAAGGAGCAACCCAAAAGAAACTATAGTATGCTAAAAAGAAAAGCCGCTCAGAATCATAGTACTCAAGGAAAAATAGCAAAGGATAGCCTACCTACCCAGCTCCCCGATCCATCATCTAGCCCTGGACCCGTCGGAATGGACATGGACAACCCAAATGGGGAACGACAGTCCGGGCAGGAAATGCATTAAATCATTATATGGCCTAATAGTTAAGTCAACTTAGAGACTGCTAAGACCAACAACAAACCTTCGAGACCAGGTAGAGGAACGTTGGAGGAACCACTAAACTGTCAGTAAAGTGGATCTAAGATCTATCAAGCGGTTTAGGATGGCCAAGACAAAACCGGCCAAAATCGCCTCACTTCAATGGCAGCTGGAACACCGTTGTCTACCGACCAATGACTGGCTGATAGACAGAACATCCCTGGAGCAGAGAGGTCGTGCTCTCCCCTGATGCAAGCTGTGTATAAACGCGTTCCCATCTATAAAACGACCGGAAACTATTGAGCACATATTTCTTCAATGTCCAGGTGCACTCTGGCTGTGGAGATGGTGGGACAGAATTTGGAAGCAACTACAAACAAACGACCCGTGGCCCTGGGACTGGAAGGCGCTACTGTGCGAAGCCTGGCCCAAGGGCCAGCCAGACCAACTTAGCGAATTCACTGAAAACATGTTCAGAGTGGGACGAAGGGCGGTGCTCTGGACATTCTGGAGATGACGCTGTACTTTTGAAATGGAGGGAGCCAGACTAGAAGGGTCCGAATTCACGGAAAGCATACAACAGCAGATCCAAACAGAAATAACCGCAAAATGGGATGCGGTCAAAACACAGATCAGACTCCTTGCCAGACAAAAAGAAATCCAACAAAAAATTCAGGAATTCAGCTCAAGCTGGCTTGGAGGACCCAACGGGGGGAGGACAGGGAAGGTAGAATGGAAAGGGGAACATCAGGAATCACGGGAGGACCCAGGGAGATTGGAGATAGTAAGAGATTACCAACTGATATTTCATGAATGGACCAAAATTGGTACAGCTATCCCTCTAAAAACCCCGGGAGAATTCCCAGACTTCTTCCCCCCCCCCTGCAAACTGTCTCGTAGAAATGCAGTGGTATGGGAAGGATGGATGAATTCAAGGAGAGTGGCCAGAGGAAAGGAGGTCTATCTTAGTGATAACATCCCAGACAGATAGCAGTCAGCACAGTATTTCAGACCCAAAAAAGGGGAATTGACAGTTCGGATTGGGGCTGGTGGGGGGAGGGAGGAACTTGTGTGTAGCAGTAGGTATCTGGCGCCGGTTCCAATGTGAAGAGGTTCCCACCTTCCCTACTTCCTGCTCAGTCAGTCCCCTGGATGCCAGGGTAATCAATGCTGGCAGGACTCTCCCACAATCGTTTTTTTCTGACATACTTTAAATTCAATCTGTAGATGGGACACTGGGCCTGTTTTCCAGCAGGTGATGCTCCCCACCAGTAGATGGAGCCTCTCCCTAGGTGCTAGTGGTGTCTGCTCTTCTCAGCACCACTAACACTGGTGGGGGCGTTTATGGAAAAAAAAAAAGAAAAAAAAAAAAAGCGCAAAACTGAGCTAAGGCCACCGGCGCCAACAGCTTTGTCAAGAGTGTTCCAACCGAGCTGAGGCCCGTTGGCGCGAGCAGCTCTACTACTCTCCACATGTGCAAAAGACAAAGAAAATGACTGTTATCTTTCCATGTTCTAGCGGAAGATTCAGTCTCATTTTGCACATTTGGAGAGTACTGCAGTGAGGCCCTTTGTCATGCACAGGATGGCAAAATGTCAAGGGGCACATTGTGGAACCAGATAGGCATTTGGGACGTAGTAACCATTGGGGTTAGCTCAGTTGTTGCAACCAGAAAGTATTGGAATGCGGACCGGAGCTCAAGTCAAGAAGGATCCAAAGTAACAAAATTCCTGAAGCTGGGCCCGGTCAGTTTCGCAAAGGAAAGGAAGTGCAGACCTAACTTTCGATGATGATGGGCCTCACTCCACTACTCACCACATGCACATAAGATAAAAAGAATACTGCCGTGTATCTTTCCATGTTCTATGAGAAGATTCATTCTCATTTTCCTCATTTGGTGAGGAGTGGATTGAGACCCAATATCTCAAGGTCGCGCCATTTGAGAACAAAAAAGGAAAACAGGCCACAGACGACCCCGCCCAGAATAGAAAAAAAAACAAGGATAGGACGCGACGAAATAAAGCAAAATGGAACGTCTTTTTTTTCTTTTTTTTCTGGGAAAGACAATGTCTTCTGACATGACCGCTACGAGGGGCGGATCTTCAAAGAATTGCAACGTGATGATAAGGCTCGCAAGTGGCATTCAGGAGGTCATTGGTTCAATCCCCATTGGCCTCATGCCTTCCTGGGCTTACTTGGCACCCGCTACCCAAGAGATAGACCACTGGATCCCCCGATTGGCATCAAGCAGAGTCTGCTATGTTCGTAGGGGAGGGGCCTGAGGGGAGGCTCGGGGGATTGGTCGGCTTTATCCCTGGTGCTACCGGCCGTCCCCTGGCCGGTATCCTGCAGGCTCGAGGGGCCGTAAAAACACGGCTCTGGTATGCTACGGGTTTCCCCGTATGCCTATAGGTAGGAGTAGTGGTAGGTAGGTAGTGTGAGGAAAAATTGAGAGAARAGTATAGTTTAAAAAAAAAAAAAAAAAAAAAAAGGCTGTTAGGGAGGCCTGCTCTGACTGCCTCTTCTGCTCATGGTACTGAACGCTCGTTGGGTGGTACATGAGTATTTCAGGGTGGGGTGTGATTTCATGCTTGGGTTGGCAGTCAATCTCAATGCTGTTCACTTCATTAAACATACGTGTATAGACACTGGGATTCACTACGTGGCAGGCAAGGCGGTGCACTGGGGGTGTCATGGCTCTGCGGATGTGAGTAGGGTATGTGCCCGCGCTGCCGCTCGGACAAATTTCTTAGTTCACATCAGGGTTGCCACGTGGCATGACCATATGATTTCAATTTTACGAGGCCACCCGGGGGGTCATATCCCCGTGGTATAAACACTAGGATTCGCCACATGCACATTCAAAGAAAAAACAGCTGCCCCACTCCCTCTCACACGATTCCACGCACTACGAAAAAAGATCCCATACACTACGGAAAAAAAAGCCACACCTATTCGCTGAGGCGATCCACCACCCCACTCACCGCACTTCAAGCAAACACCGTTCGCGGGCACAACTCTTTTTCGCACCTAAAGCTGATTCCATAAAGAACCACATGTCGGTCAGCTAGGCCCGGACACATTGGGCTGAAACGCTCGTTTCTGGCAATCCCCGCCCTTGGTTTCAAAATCTACATCTTGGCCGCCGGATCCGCGATCCAAGGTAAAAAAAAGCCCACAAAGGGCTGTGTCAAAGCCCACAACTGGTAAACTTTGTATATAGATAGAAGTGATATATATTGACAGATCTTTTTCTATTTCATGGATGTTTTGCTGGCTTGTGATGGGTTGTGAGTGTGCAGTCTGTAGATTTTTCCTTCTGCTGTGGGTGAGTGATAGTCTACTTTGATTTTCGTCACAGTTACCTTAGGGTATCGGTTATCGGGCAGTTATTAACCTCAACCGGGGTTAAGCTGGATAATCACTTTTAGTATCATCGGCTAAGGGACTCTGCAGATTGTAGAGGGTTCAGCCTCCTGATAAGTTGGTGCTCTGACAAAGCAGTTTGTCACACCCCTCGTTTGTTGTCCTCTTCTCCCATTCTACCTACGGTTTACTGGTCAGTTCTGCTTATCCATATATATATATCATGGTAACCGCGGACCCGGACACCAGACACTTCCAGACTGTATTCCAGACGTATGTCTGGACCGGTCCGGACAGTCCGGTGATCCGGACACCACCGGACTCCCAGACATCAGCGGATCCGGACAGTCCGGACTGATGTCAGAAGGTCCAAAAAAGTCCGGACCCCGGATAAAAAAAGGGGAGGGGTGGGTGTGGGGGGGTGTTGGACAACAGACACTCACCGGCACTGCAGTGGAGCACCTGTCTTGCAACAAACCAAGAAGTACATTCAACTAACAATGGGGCTCGCTGCACTACTCTTGACATGCACAAAAGACAAAAATCATGGCGGTGTAACTTTCCATATTCTAGCGGAAGATTCACTCTCGTTTTGCACATTTCAAGAGTAGTGCCGCGACGCCCTAACAGACATGCAAAGTTGTAAACAGTGGAAAGCTGGCCAAAGACTCAAGAAACAGGGGAAGAAAAAAAAAAGTTCAAAAGAGTTCAGAAAACAGACTCAAAGTCTCAAACAGAGTCTTCATACAACAGTTACTAATAAGTTTGAGCTTTGAATTGTGAAGTCCAGTGCAGAACTCAAGAGTCTTCAGACTGGCAGCGCTGTCAATACTCTCTCTCTCTCTCTCTCTCTCTCTCTCTCTCTCTCTCTCTCT